TGTTCACTTCCTCCGACTCCTTTTCAAACAGAAAAGTAGTGATACTCTAATTATTTGTTTCTTGGTTATGTTGGTTAATGCTTGTTTTCTTGAATACTTTAATGATCTCCGGGGGGAAATATCAATTATTCCAGCTGCAGCTGTTCAAGTAAGCATTAGAGATAAAGTATAAAGGAAGAAATATTCCAGCAAATAAATAAATAAATAAATTTGAGCAAATAAATAAATAAAATTAAAATTAAATAAATAGCGGTAGTAGCAGCTAGCTGTAGCGCTTCCAGTGCCACAGCTTGGGGTACTTCCTGTACAAATGGTGTAATATTTCTGCTGATWTGGTTTGTAATGCAAAACATACAGTGATGTAAGGGTTTAATAATGTTTGCATGAAGCAGGGGTGCTACCAAGGGGTAGCGAGGGTGCGTAGGTGGGGTCCACAATGCACATTTTGTTTTGTGGCAACCATGTCCTCGGCACTGTGAAGYTTCTCACCAAGCAGCAGGTGACCAGCTGACGGTGTGATGTTCAAATTTTAGCACATTCTTCAGTCGCAAGAATGAAAACAGTTACATCCAAAGTGACGAGTRCAGAAACGTTTGTTTGGCCCAAGGCAGAGGTTGGGTAAATCCCACAAACAGCACTCTGCWATCCACCATTGTTATTGTTGTTTATCTACACGCGCAGAACAACTGTTGACTGCAGYCATCCACAGTGCACAAATRCAATTCCACAAGGATGTCGGMCATTTCCAAAATCYTCCAATCTGAGACCTGGAATCAAAAAGCTTTGGAGTCAGAGTRAATGACCACTGTTGTTGTGAGCACTAAAGGCTGAAATGCAGCAAAAATGTTMCGGTTTGACATAAAAACTGCACTGAGCTTTACACAAATCTCTCTGACTAAAATTAGACCACGTTTAGCTTTAGTGTTTTAGTTCTTATTTGTAAATTGCTTATAACACACAAACAAATAAAAACATGAAAAAGACAGAACCCAAGGGTGAAAAACATGCTAAATGTAGAGTTCCAGCTGGTACTTTACCTCTGAGTGATGTGGTTCACGGTCCAAACATCTTTATCTGCTGTTTCAGTTGCTGATGTTGATGTTGTAGCATTAGTATTAGTA